CGGGGGGGGGGGGGGGCCTGGGCTGGTCCCTGTGGCACTGAGTTTAAAGCCTCTGAGCCTGGCATTCAAGGCTAAAGCCATGTGGCTACAGAGACCTGTCCATTCCATCTTTCCAGCCAGATGTCTCAACCCCAACTCAGTACAGAAAAACAATGGGAACTCCATGATGACTTAAGTACTGATTATCCGTTTTAAAATTCGTATAGCATGCATTACATCTGGTCTAGATCCTTTCTAGGGCAGGTGAGATTCGATGCAGGCCTCTGTGCAGGTGTCGGTCTTCCACTACTGGGCCGGCCTTGCCTGCTTCCAGCTATCTTCCCACATGACACCCTCAGGGGCAGCCAGGGTCTCTTAAAAGGACAAATCTATAAACATTCCCCTGTCCTTTCCCGGAACCTTCCATGACTCCCCAGTGCCCTCTGGAAGAAGCCCAGGTACCTACCCATTCGGCCTTATCCCTGCCCACACCTTCACCCCACACTCAATGTCCCCAGTGGGGCCTAGTGGGCACCTGACCTGGTGATGGGAGTAGGGACAATACACAGGTCTTGTCTAATCCTTAGTATCATCTGCACTGTATGGATGAAGAAACTGAAACAAGCCCAAGGTCGTGAAGAACCCGGGCAAGTTGGAGCAGGGGTATGAAGCCAGGGAATCTGATCGGGTCACTTGCACTGCTTCCGTGTAAGTTCCCTGGGGTTGCAGTTCAGCCTCCCCTCCTCCAGGAAGCTCACCCCTCAGGCTGGGGCAGGCTCCATTTCTCAAAGTCACCAAATACCTCCCTTCCCTGGTCTGCATTTGCTGTTCCTGCAAACTGCAAAGCATTCCCCTAGATCTCCACCTGGCTCAGTTCCTTACTTCACTCGGGTGTTTGCTCAAATCTAATTTTATATAAGGAGGCCTTCTCCGAGCTCCCTTTTGGAAACTACCTACCCATGCAGAGAAACAACCTCCCGCCAAACCTTCATCCCAGAGCTGCCACCCCTGGTCTTCTCAGATAAATCTGTCTCTGGATTGTGCAGAAAGGAAGGATGGGTCCAAGACCCTCCAATTGTAAAACATCACCACCCAAAAGACAAAAAAAAAAAAAGATAGAAAAAGACTGACCAAGAAACAGGAACCAAGGGACAAGTAGAGCAGTGATACTACCATTAAAAATAACAATAATGAGGCCAGGGATTTAGCTCAGTGGCAGCACGTCTGCCTCTCAAGCACAATGTCCTGAGTTCAATCCCCAGTACTGCAAAAAAAATAATAATAATTAAAAAATAATAATAATTGGGCCAGGGATTTAGCTCAGTGGTTCTGCCGCCTGCCTTGGAAGCACAAGGACCAGAGTTCGATCCCCAGTACCAAAAAAAAAAATTAATAATAATAACAGTAAATCTTGGAAACAGCCCAATGCCCATCAACTGAAGAGTGGATAAAGATGTATTTTTTTTATACAATCAAGTATTAACTCTGCCATAAAGGATGAGCTTCAGACATAGCTAAATGGATGGACCTTGAGATCATACTCTTAAGTGAAATAAATCAGACACACCTGTTTAAATACCACTTTGTTTCTCTGGTGTGAGAAAATGAAGGTGGAAATAAGGACTGAGATGTATAATGCATGCTGGGAAATGGGAAGAAAGTGTTCAAATGGGAAAATGTTCCCTAAGTGTTCAAGGGAGGAGGGAGGGAGAAAGGAAGGGACAAGAAAAAAAGTGAACATAGAAGGAAAAAATGGAAATGCTTTTGTACACAGGGAGGGGAGGGAACTTGAGAGGGGGAATGGGATAAAATAAAACTTATTTAAAATAATAATAATAATGAAGCTGAATGTAGTGGTGCACACCTGTAACCTCAGTGCTCCAGAGGCTGAGGCAGGAGGATCACTGCAAGTTCAAGGCTAGCCTTGAGACACCGCCTCTAAAAACCTAAGTAAATAAATAAACTGGAAAACTAAACAAATAAAAAAACCTGGCAAAGATGGTGACAAAATAAACTGACCCATTATGTACAAAAATTCTCAACATTCATGATCCTAATAGTCTCAAAATATATAAATAAGAAAACAATCATCCCTGCACATGACAGCCTTAAGCCCATACAATGACAAAAGAGAATCGTAATGTAATTACCACATGTCTCAGAATAGATTTGATGAGAAAATAAAATGAGTAAGGACCCAAGCCACACAAGCTATGCCCTGATGGAATGCCCCCAACAATGACAGAATACACATGTTCACATTCTTAGTGTACACAGAACATTTGCAAAAACTTGTTTCAGAATTCACTGAGGTCTTCCTGTGTCCTGCCCCTGGCTTAGGCACCAGGGGTGCATAGGTGACATTGAGCTCAACAGAAATAGCTCGTGGGAAAGGGGGAAGACATCCCAATAAACAATCATAACCAACATGGATATATTAACTACAAAAGCACTTAATACCAGAGCGCTCACTGCGTGCCACGCCCTGCTCTGAGCACTTTACAAAGATTAACCTATTTAATCCTCACATCTTCTCACTGTTTGTAATACCATGTTGTTATGGTTTATAACTCGACGTCCCCCAAAGCCTCATGCACACACAGGCTTGGGAGCTGACTGGATCACGGGGACATGACACTCATCAGTGCAGCTAAGTGAGATTTAGGAGGTGAAGGTCCGAGGAGGGGCTCCCTGGGTGTGGCCTGGAAGGGTCTAGCTCCCTCCCCACCCTTAATCACACTCTGCGCTTGCCCCCAATTCTCCTCTACCATACCGCCCCAACTCGGAGGCAGCCAACTATGGACTGAAATCTCTGCAACTGTGACCAAAATAACCCCTTCCTCCTCTAAATTGTGGGCATTGGGTATTGTGTCTCAGTGATGAGAAAGTGACTATGTCAAAGACAGGAAACTGAGGCACAGAACACGTAAGAAACAGCCAGTCCTCTTTTGAAGCTTCTGGCAGAGCTTTCACTGCTGCCTAAAATGCTCCTCAGCTTACCAAGCCCTGTGAGTCTTTTTCAATTTAAAACCACAGCCCGTCCTCCCAAGACACACGTGTTCATTCTTCTTCCCTGCTTCAGCTTTCTCCTTAGCACACATAACTATCAAATATACTAAAATGTTTGTTTAGAGGACAAACCCCCCCCATCTTTGCTGATAGTTCTGCAGCTTCCGGGGCAGTGCCCACATGGTCTACCCTGGGAGTTTGTTGGAATCGCAGGCTCTGGGTCCCTACCCAGGGCTGCTGAATCCGAAAGTGCGTTTGAACAAGCTCTCTAGGACCCTCGTGGATAAGCAAGGCCCCAGCACATGGGGGCTATGCAATGCACGTTTGTTTGAATGAAGGAAGGAACTCCTACCGGCCTTGCTGCCCAGCTTCTGAGAGGAGGACGCCACCCCACCTGCAGGAAGCTGTCCCGGTACCTTCCCAAGCTACAGGTGATCTTTTTCTCGAGAGGCTTCCTCTTACAATGCCTGCTAAGTGGCAGTGAGCTGAGTGGGTGACGTCTCCCTCTTAACCAGCCTGTCAGTTTCAGGAAGCTGAGTCCTCTCCTCATAGGCACAGCTGTTCCAATCTCTGTTCCTGGCTTCAGGGCTGGTTTAACTCTTGGGCTCCATCCTTTCCACGGTAGCCTGAGGGATCTTTCCAGGCAAAAACATGATTGCTTCAAAATTATCACGACCCAACTTTAAGCCCTTTGTGACGACATGCAAGTACTCAAACCAATGTATGTCTTGTGAACCCTTTCTTAGGAAGTAACTGAAGCACTTGCTTCATCACAGTGAAGAAATAGCTGGGCGTGGTGTCGCATGCCTGTAATCGCAGTACTTGGAAGGCTGAGGCAGGAAGATCACCACAAATTTAAGGCTAGCCTGGGCTACACAGTGCATTCGAGACCAGCCTGAACCACATAGTGAGATCCTGTCTCAAAACAAAAACAAAAACAACCAGAAGCTAAGCATGAACCTAAGAAGTCTAATGGTGGGTAGAGAGACAAAACACAGCACACAGCACAGGGTAGGGCAGAAAGCAGGTGCTCAGGGAATGCACTTGCCTAATCACACCACAATTGGTGGCAGAAACAAACAAACAGAATTGGTGGCACATTACCAGTGCTGTCACTTTCTGGTGCTGTCCCCGTTCCCCGTTTTTGAGGCAGGATCTCACTATGTGATCCAAGCTGGCCTTGAACTCACTATGTAGCCCAGGCTGGCCTCAAACTCTTGAAGACCCTCTTGCCTCAGCCTTCTGAGTGCTGGGATTACAGG